ACTTACATAACATAATGGTGGCTTTCAAGAAATAGCTCGCTGAAATGTCAAAATGGCATCAGAAAAAGATTTTCATTATTTTAAACATGGTCAAAAGCACAAAGCTCTTTTACTATCACAGGAATCTGTTTTCATAGTTTTTCAGCACAACTATACCCTTTAAAACATTTGACCCAGGATCTAACAGACAAATGAAATAATCTGGTTCCCAATCACAGTGTAGTCCCTCTTGCAAAGAGTCACCTTCTTTCGTGGAGATGCATGTGATAACATTTAAGGCTAATTTCATGTTCATCACCATCCAGGCAACACCACCTCTGTTGTTATTTTCCTTCTCTATTATAGACTACACCAAAACTGCTTGCATGGCTTTTACTTCTCAGATACGGCGCTAAGGTCTATCAGATTCCCTTGTGCTGAGCAAAGTACAGCCTTTACTAAAATTCAGTGTCCAGACTGTTCGTGCTTCTGCAGTGATTTTCAAACAGAAGTAATAGTCATAATCCACCAGAAAATGAAATTTCAAAGAATAGATATAAATACTGCTGCCCAGGCAGGTGCACACTGTACCAAGCCCTCACTGAATGCGGTAGTCCTGGACCTGGTCTTATGTCTTTTTATGACAGAAGCCCAAACACTTTGGGAAGACACAGGTATGACTCTTATGATCTACAGGCACCACAGCCTCCTTCAAAGCCTGATGATGCAAATGGCAGGAAGCATCTCTGAAAAATAGAATGAAAAGCAAGTGAATGGACATGGCTCTGTACTTGTACAGCAACAACGCTGGGACTACAGGAGATGGGATAGTCTCTTTGTCCAGATGTGGGGGCCAGAATTAAGCCTCCAGCTTCCATAGTGCAAAGTGCCCCTTCAACACCTGCAGCACTCCTGTGTCAGCTCTCTGACATCTTTGCAAAGTACTGAGAAGAAGCTGGCCATTATAGCCTGGAAACTGCACACCTAGGGGCTATCAGCTGCGGCAAAGCAATTTAGTTTTGCAATGGGTGGTGTCTGAGATGACAGCACTTCCCTTGGACTTTAATTGCATTGTGGTTTCCTAGATTCCCAGACAGCCGTATAGCTACTGATGACATGCATATGGATTTCTTCTTCAAAATGAGGTCTAACCACCCCACAATCCTCTTTGCCCTGTCGGCCTTGTGCAGGCCAATTGATCCCCACCCAGAGGAGGGGAATCGCAGTGTGAAGAGAAGGGGGGAATAATGTTGTGCTTTATTGCTCAAGCTCTATAAATTCTCCCTTTAAATCAGGCCACTGTTTAGATTAATTCTTCACACTTTATGTGCATTCCTACGCTCAATTACATGTGCTTTGTTTCCAATGAACTTTTACATGTGGGTTAAAAGATTTTCACTCTTGATTACTGTGACTCAGCTTGGTTCCTGAAGCACTTCCCAAGGTTTCTGTTGTATCTCCCCTTTCTGGCTACTTCAGAGTAACGGAGCATCTCTTCATGGACTATGCATACCGCTTCCTGCATTTCCCTAAGATTTAGCAGAAGCGCCACAGTTTCCCTCTACCACATAAATTGGGTTTTAAACATACTGTTAATGGGGTCAATAGGCAAAGGACTTTACCAAATGTGCAACATTAAAAAGATAACAAAGACTGTCTGGACTGCAAACGAGAGATACTTTGAAGCCAGGACACTCTAGCCAAGATTTAATAAAACAACAAAAAGAACAGAAAAACTAACTGAACCAAAACCAAAGGGCAGCATCACAGACTAACTGCTCTGACCTGCCAAAAGCACTGAAGAACAAAGAAAATGAAAATATAAAGACGTTCAAAACAAACAGGAGCAAAGTGCAATACAAAGCTGTACACAAAGTGCAAGGCACATTAGGGCCAATTCTGAACATGTCTGGGAAAGTACAGGCTGTGTTTATTACTGTGTCTCCAGCACATATTTTTACCCTTATCTCATCTTTTGATGCATGTAGGGCAGTACAGAGTAAGTCAGGCTGCTTTTTCCGTTTCTGAGTTAATGAAGAGCCTCCCACAGGGCATAGGAAACGCTACGGAAGCACAGCCTGCAAGCAGCCCAGCACGCTCTAGTGACCAGCCTCAAGCTAGGGAGAGCACAAAGATAAAGGGTTGTGCTTGTTCTGCACTTAGTGGCAATATATATGCCAAAGATCATCCAGGCTCTGGAGTTTCCAAGTGCTAGCATCAGCACTATGGCAAAGAGCTGCCCAGAACCTCAGCAGCAAAGGTGTTTGGACCAGGCTACCCCACAAGTCTCCAGGCTGTTCAGTTGTCTCTGTTGCCAGTCTATCTCAGTGGAATATTAAACAGCCAGGCTGAAAAAAACAAGCCTGAAGCATTAGTAAACCCTTTATAGCTGGCACCCACTGAGGATTACTTGACTGCTTCCTCCAGCATTAAGTCCTGGTTCCATGGATATTCTGGCCAAAACCCAGAATCCTCCAGCCTGGTAAAGAGTACTGCAGCAGGTAATGCTCCTCACACCATGGCTGAGGAAATTAACTCCTGTGTATACCTCAGGCTAAAAAGCTTCAGTAAACAGCGGGTCTAGTAGTGCCCCAGAGCTTCCACATAGCAGGGAGAAAAGAGAGGGAAGTCAAGATCAGCAAACTGGGGATGTCTGCTGGCTTCCTTGTTGCTCTCAGGCCTTTAGTAAAGTCCTGTGCACAGAGCAGGGGTAAGCTCCACTGCCCCAGGAGGGGTGAGTGAGCTGAGTAGCCAGGGTTGGCTACTGATCTGAGTAGCCAGTAGCACATTCAGCCTCATCCCCAGCAGTTCAGCTGAGCCAGGCGTGTCGATACTGGGGTAGACAGAGCATACAAGGCAGAGGCCGGATGTTGAATGACAGGCTTAAGGACAGCATCCATCATTAATATATATTGGTGCAGGATGTGATTCTGAGCTGAATCTGTCTGGGGTACTGGAATCAGCTGTCAGAACTAGCCACCTTGTAAGTGAACGTACAAGGAGTGCAAGCAGATATCTAAAGGATCACATGAGCTGGATCAAACACAAGAGGGAGGGCAGGTTTATGGCTTGCTCTGACTGTGGAAGAATAAATGGTTCTAATTTGCACACACTTGCTGAGATCCCTTTGCCACATGAATCATGAGTGAGTTTTGTCAGTGGGATTTCAGTTGGCAGAGAATCTGTCCTGGTTGTGACATGCCAGGTGGAGCTGTCAGCAGTGACAGGTAGAAGAAAACTCATCTTTTAGTGCCTGAAGTCGCGCCAGTTCAATTGGGAAATGATTGAGGGTGAATAAATAGAGAACAGCATTATGGTATTTTCACAACCTCTTTTCTGACTATAATTTCACTATAAGGAAGTTTGTTGGCTCCTATTGGAGGAATAAGTGTGTAGGGGGGAATATCTCCTTTCTTCTCTTGTGTTGTGCTGAAAAGTTGAATTAAATTATTCTGCTCACAGACAGATTGTTCCAGTAAAATAGAATTTGAAGCCACCAGGGGCTCATTGAGAAGAGAAGCTTTTACACTATATGAAAAGGCAAGAGACAAAACCCTTGCCAAACTCCTTCACTCTTTATTACCGACAGCTGCAATGCTGGATGCGTCCGGATGCCTTTTAAGTGCCAAGGGGAGTGACGGAGGTGGGATGGCATGTGAGGAGATGAAATACACGGCAGCTTCTCCCCCGACAGCAAGTTTAATTATTTGCACTGTTGTATACACAAGAAAAAAATATACACATATTGGAAAATCATTCACTCTGATTCCTGTGTCAGGTGGATTATGAAAAACACTCGCTCTTGCTCGTCCATGGCAGAACAAGGTCTTAAAATATTCAGAACCTGCATACGCCTTTGTCACAGAAGGGAGAAAAAACAAGGTAGAGTATATTTCCTAAAGAAAGAGGGCATGAATATATCAAGAGAGCAAAACCAGATGCGCTTTGCTGTATGAACCCAGATACACAACAGAAGTGAAGCAAACCAAGCTTTAAGCCAAATAAACATTCCAAAGAACTTTCTAATGCATCCCTTCTTGTCCTTCCTGCATTTTAAGATCAATGGAACAGAGAGGATCTGATCCTTTTGTCTGTTCAGTGCTCAACCAACAAACACCAAACTGTGCTTTGTTAGGATCAATTTTCCCAAGTCCCACTGGCTCCAGCATCCAGGAGCTCATGTGACATTTCAGGGTGACCATTCAGGATGTGAAATTCTCTAAGTGACTAGCCATGGTTCAAAGTCTTAAGTCATTGATAAATCCTATCAGTGATAATATAATCTGTGAGGCTACAGACCAGAGTAAAAAGATGCAGACAGGTCGTCTTTCTGTAATCTGCTGTTTAAGGGTTAAGTATAAATGACTCAGAAATGCCAACCGTTTGTGCAGGGTTGGCAAGCCTTGATATACCTGCTTAAGTTGATGCCTTGCAACTGTCACCAGCTCTTCTGTTTGACTAAGAACCTACTTCCATTCTACATGAATTTCTCTCTGCTGCTGTTAACTTCAGTGCGCCTATGAACAAGGCCTACATAAGGATTAGTAGGCTTGAGGTACAGCACGATGAAGACCCGCCAGCTCAAATAGAAGCTGTGCTAGAGAAAGCATGCACCGTATTTTCTGGGCCACTCAGGGACAGTCTTGAAGCTATTCTTTCTTGGATCTTGCAAATACAATGTTTGTTCATGCAGTAAGCTTCTTCCTCTTTGCGTTTATGTAATGCTGGCTGCCCTAAATTTACAGCATATACACCTAACTATGAAGATTGTAACACATCATGTGAGGCCATACAATGAGGACAAGATACGCCAAGCTTTTCAGAGCACATTTTGTGGCATTTCAAGCAGCTAACTATAGCCTTCCCCTGCACACAGGGACATTACATAAGTATATTTTATAGATAAGCCATCAGAGAAAGTGGTTGCTGCCTACTGACCTAGTGCCTATATATGGAAACCAGAGTCAGACACACAAAAAATCCCTGTAAACTGCAAAAGAAGAGAGAACATTAGGACTTGCCTCGCAGGGGGAGTTCCTCAAAGGAGCTGGAAATGTAGTGCTGGTCATGACAGTGTTTGCTACTGCTGGTGCTTTGCTGGTGTTAAGGAGGAGTGCACAACCTGGATAAAAGAGCAGGAAGAAGGTCAAACTGCAGCACTCACCTTCTGATTTCAGGGTTTGTGAAACTTCCCCAGAACCTATGTTAGCTGACTCCTATTACAGGAGAATGCCAGAGAGCAGAAGGCTTTTTCAATTTATTAGGGGTGCAGCTCCACCCAACAAACATACTCAGGAAATACATTTAAGTCTGTCTACCTTCCCCCTACAGTATCTTCTGTTCCTCCATGACTTCAGATTCATCCTCCTTTCAAGACTGAATAACAAAACGTATCTTTTATGAACGAAAAGTGACTTGGAAGAGAATATTTCTCTTGGCCAATCCCAAAACAAAATACAACAATGGCAAATACCACCAGAGTAATATTAATGCAGCTGGAGGCCTCTTTGTTCCTTTAATAATTTGTTGTAACAAGAGGAACAAGGGCAGTAGTAACACTAGGGTTTTTCCTTGGCACTCTGCATGAAAAGGTGCGTATTTGCACTGTTTCAGCTCTGCCCTCCAGCTGAGGACAGTACCACTACTTAGAACCCAGTTATTTGGGCTTTCATTGAAATTGCCTCTACAGCATAGACAAATCATGAATCAGCAGGGCTTTATTGCCAGTTCCCCACAGTACCCTCTTTCTGGCTCTTTGCCTTCACGTTTACCTATGCTTCCATCACTTTGTGGTCTGTAACACTGGGCGCTGAGCTGTCAGACAGCATAAATGCATCGCAGCCTATACCAGTTCACACAAAAGTAGAGAATCTTACTCTTCATGTTTAACATTGGATCTAACTTTCTAAAGCAATGTTGTGACTATATACCTTTAACTCTGCTGTTATTATTGTACCCTTTTAGATGCTCTGTGCCTCAACAATAAATGCCTCCAATGATTCACATTATTGCATTAGGAAAAAGCTTATCCTACCAGGTAGCCTGTTTGCCAAAACTCAACCGGCAGTTCAATGGTTCAAAAACTCAACCAGCAGTTTAACGCCCAAGGTATAAACCTTCAATGATTTGTATGAGAAAGATTAGAAATGAATTACTAGGACTTGGCTGTAAGAACCAAGTATAGGGTAATTATATACAGAAGTGGAACTCAAGGGACAATCGAGCAAAGAGAAGAAAAATTAGCAAATGAGAAGGGGAAGAAAGAAGCAGAACAGAAACAGAGGAAGTAAATAAACTGGGAAAGAAAAAATCAGATCAGTATGGAGGAGGGTCATGCAGATCAATACTTGGTGTGAAGTTGTTTAGAAAGGGTCATACTCATATCTAGTGTCAGTTGTGGAGACCTGAAGTACCAGTCTATACCCTCAAGACAGAAAGTGAGCAGGACAGTCTTTTGCTCAGAGCACTTAGAGCAGAAGGATGGCGCTTGTTTCACCGCAGGTTGGATATACATAAGAAAACATGCCTTGTATTTTATTCCTTCTCCACATCATTTGTGTATCTTGTTTACTCTCCACTGTTCACTCTCTGCACTTATTATTTACTCTCACACACCTTCTATTGAAGGAAAACGGTTGTGCTCCGGGCTTCCAATCCGCCATGCAGAAGGATGAGACACAGAAGAGCCCTGCATCCAGCCACAGTCTCCTTCTTCAAACGAACAGTAAAAGCCAGAGGGAAGATTTTCTGCAAGAGGGAAAGACACACACACATACAGAAGAACCCAGGTGAGCTGAGGAGAAGACCCCTGGGCCCCAGAGAAGTTGCAGTGACTATTCTGACCGGGTTGCTCAGGCATGCAGGCAGCCCTGCAGCTACTCAGTCCTTTTGTGTGGAGTCATGCACGTGCCTGACCATGGGGAGAGTGGTGGCAAGGGTAACAGCTCCCAAACTGTGGCTAAGTGACTCCCCACACACTTTGATGTATCCAAGTGAGAGGCAACATCTCAGTGTACACTATGGGGTCTCTTAAATACCTGGCCTCTACAGGTCCACAGGTATAAACCCAATCAGGGTTACACCTTGGAAACGGCTTTCCTAACCACTGCTTCTGCACCCCATGGAAGGAAATCTTGGAGAGCGTTAAGTTCCTAACATGATCCCCCTCCCTTACAGTCTAGGTCTCTAGTCAGCCCAGCTCAGCAATTTGACCTCTTCTCTCTGTGAGCACTGATGCGGTCTCAGGTAAAGTACTGAATCATTTTGTGTCTCAGGTTTTGCACCTGTGGATCTGTTTGGTGAGATGAATGGATGACAAGAGGATAGTTTATTTTAAGCCATACTTTCAGGCTTTGAAGCCCACTCATTCTGTCACTGGCTTGTGATTTCAGGCAAGCTTCCAGCTCTAAACAATAAAGATAAATTAGCTTTTTGCCTTTAAATTAACCAGTTTTAAAGTAATAGTTATCTCATTCAAAGTAGAATGTAACTTCATGCCTTCTTCATCTCTTCCTCTACCTACATTGCAAGTTTGTCTTACAAAGGGTGCAAAGCACTGCTCCTCTTACCCTGAGCCATACACTTTTATCACCACAGGTGAACATCCTCTACTTGGCCATGAATCATGTATTTCCTTAAAAACTCAGGACATAATTTTCCCACCATCCTCAATACACACTCACTGCCTCCTTAGTTTCTACTGTAGTCTAGTTCTACCTTTCCATTTCTCTTCTTCAACATGAAGCCAGACTCTGTACTTATTAAGTAACCTCAGCAGAAAACAGACCTTGTAAAACGCCATGGAAAATCACAACCACTGTAACATGATGTTCACTTATAGTGAATTACTAACAATCCTTAATATAGATTCCGCACCCACGGTGCAGCTGACAAGTCTGCCAGCTATCAGAAGGCTTCTCAGTAGTAAAAGGGCACAAACTGAGTTTTATGGGGGAAAAGTTTTATGGGTGGAGTACAAAGCTAGCCTGGCAGAAAAAGGTGCCCTTTTAATATAGAGTTACGTTAGGCATTAAAGATGCCAGAAGAGAAGTCAGGAAGAGCAGCCAGTCATTTTACCCTACTATATAGGCTTACCAGTCCTTGGGGCTGGCAGTACAAAGCCCCTGAGTACACTTGTTCAGTGGGGATGGTCCTCCCAATAAACCAGAAGAACTGCCATGATGAACAGATGCAGCCGTAAAAGGGATGATGATATTCCTGACTTCTCAGAGTTTGTACACCCTTGTGTACTCAAATCTGTACTAAAAAACAGTTTAGCCCGTATTTGTTTTCTCCTTCCCTGTTCCCCTAAACTTCCCCTAAAACTATCTTTGTTTTTTTTTTTGTTGCAGGTGGTTGTTGGGTTTTTTTTGAAAGAAAGTAAAGAGAGACAAGAAATCTGTTTAAAGTTGCAAGATAAAAATAAAATTTCCTGTGCAAACACATTATAAACTCACATATCCAGGAAATTAGTTTTTCCTTTCAACTGCTTTTCAAAATCAGAGTAAAAATTTCTTCAGTTACAAAATGTAGGACAGAATACAAACTCCTAGAGCAAGAGGATGTGCTGGTCATCTGATTGTGGCAATTTCATTAGCTCCGCTATGAGAAGAGAAGGCTCTTGAATTCAGATTTTGTTGTGATTCTTAGGAATTTTTCCTTCTGACTTCTTCTAATTTTGAAGTGAGGCACCAGTATCCAAATCCCAGATCATTCAAAATGTTTAAATATCAGCAGAAGCCCCTGGCTGAGATTGCAGGTCAAATAAATACCTGCTCACAGTGCCTTAGCTTTGACTTACACACCTCAAAATGTAGTTCATTGTCAGTGGCACATTCACCTACTCCTTGGTCTACCCAGAGAAAACACGTGGGGAACACCACAACTGCAGTGTCTAGACCACGAGTATTTGATTTTCCAGGAGCCTGAATCACAGCTCACTTCACAGAGGAAATCGAAACAAATCTTACTTCTGTGGCTTTTCAGTAGGGACAAATTTGAACCTGGAACCTGACATGGAGGTGAGAACCACCTTTTACTGTAATTTCTGCAAGCACTCAAATTTATTATGAAAACATCAAAACCCGTACTGGAGTTCAGGCTTTTTCAAGTTTTTCCTTTTAAAAAAAAATCTCCAAATTCATTAACCCTAGTCTTCAAATGTGGATCTGTTAAGCAGAGTTGCTTCCTTGTGTTTTACCCCTCTACAGAACTTGATTCTATTTCATTTTGCAGCCCGAGGCTGGGTTCCAAAGAAAATGACAAATTATAAATGTGTCCTGAATTCCTACTGAAACAGTTTGGCTCAGTGTCCAACTGAATTCATTTCATGGCCATACGCTATCTAGGATGATGTAAACAAGTCAGAGCAGCAGGAGGAGTCATCTAAGTAGCAATCCCTGCCTGGAGGCCAGAAAAAGCTCACTGTCGATGAAAAAGTAAGGACATAAATAAGAAGCTATTACTTTCCCAGAAAATTTCATTCCTCCTCCACAAATTAATTTTTTATGAATTTTCAGATGTCCCATGCACCGGATGCCTTTTCTCTGCTGCTCTTTCTTACTTTGAATACATACAGTACCTACAATTCCACATATTGGTACTCCACAAAGAGCTCTTTGGCTAGTACTTCTTCATTGATGCGTAATTCTCAATTTTTGGAATGTTTCTAATTCTAACTCACATTGCTGCAGACACGGCACTGATGAGGGTAAGTTAATCTGACTTTATTGGAAAATCAAGTAAACGCAGGAGCAGGAGTAATGCCTGTTGAAACCTGCCATGTTGGATATTATTATTAGTGACAGAAACCTCAAAAAATTTAGACCTTAGTAAGATTAAGAGGCAGCTTGTGGATACAGGACGGAGAATACAGTAAACCAGTGAGACTGGAGCACTGTGAGAATGTAAGAGTCTGTGCTTTCATTTGAGTGATGAAGTAGAGAAAAGCTGTAGGGTGTTAAACTTCTTCCTAACCAAATATTTTCAAGCCTTCGGAATGATTTAGATTTTGCTTGAAAGGTAATTAAGTTCAAGGTTTTTTTTTTAACTTTAATGCAGACTTTTCATCCTTTAATAGCAAGAAAAATTAGCAACTGGCATAATTTATGAAGCGGATAGAGCATGCTCTTGATTCCAAACTAGGTGTAAATCAACCGGATACTATAGTTTAATCTTTTGGGTGAAATTCCCGACATATATTATAAAAGACACAAGCATAAAAATCTACGCTGGTATGTATGGACCTGTACCAAATGTAGGAGGAAATCTAAGAAGGTAAAAAGATCATCTACTCAAAAAACTTAAAGAAGCACATGAATCTTAAACACGAGTTTGTTTCAGTGGCTGCCTCTGTGCTAGAAAGTTGGTCTGCCAAATTCTACCAGAAATGAAGCATAAAAAGGGAAAATACTTTTCAACATAGTCAACAAAGAGTTATCCTGTCATGCCAGAAGGCTTTGCTGAGTTCAGAACTGCCAGAGGTTAGAATTTGTTGCTAGATGTACAGCTTTTGATCAAGAAAGCAGCAAAAGGATTAGTGTATTCAAGACATGAACCTTAAGAGAGCACTGCATGGCAACAGGTTGCTACTTCATCATTTTGCTCGCGGGGAGACTCTGCTGGGCCGTATCTGTCACTAAGACATAAATGAATCCAGTGGTTTCTTCATGCATTTTTGCCTGGAAAGTAAACTGGCCCCTGTAGAATTAATTATCTATGCTTTTTTGGTCACTTGCTCATGTTATCACAAATTCAAACTTTATCGGTTCCTATTCTAGCTGCCATCTGGTCTTTTGACAGATGCGTGTGTGCACTCCTCCAGCCACATAGCACAGCCTGAGTCACTCCTTTCACTAATCAGATACTAGTCTTCCTTATCTCACCTGGCAATGTGTTTAACATCTTTAAATATTCAATGAGGCAAAGAGTGAAAATCACCCTATAACCCAGTGGTTATGAGATTCATTTGAAGGATGAAGGACATTACTTTCAATCCCTGTTCCAGGTAAAATTTATAAAATGTGGAAAAGCAACCTCAGGAGAGACTTGAGTAACCCCTTCTTCTGAACTAGACCAGAACTCCAGACCACGATCTTGGAAACTTTCCGTGGAAATAGGAAATACATGTTCAAATTCACTTAGGCAGAAGAAATAATCAGTCCTGGGTGAATCCTCTAAGTTCTGGGTCTCTAGGTAATAAATATACTATCAACACCTCCATTCTTCTTAATTTTTTTCTTTTTTTTCAAATATATCCATTACTTTCCTAACATGCTTAGACTGATTAACCAGTGTTTTCCCAGGCTGCATTTTTTTGGTGAATTTGAGACAGAAAGTAAAATAATTTTGGACTAGCCAAAAGTATATGCACTTTTTGTTCAGTAAAACACTTATTTTTGCTCAGACTTGCTGCCCTGCAACAAAAGATTACTGAACCAAAATCCAAGATATTGTTAACTAAAAAGAGGACAAAGCTACTGAAACAAATTCTCCCTTTCTGTAAAGCAGAGTTCTTCCAATCCATATTAGTAAATAATTTGAGTTTTCGTCTCTGTCTTGTACCATACCAGCTATATTACACTTATGATTCTCTGCTACAATAAGAGGAAGTATGTTTTTTTTTTTGCAGTAAGTTATAATCCATAAAAGCATGAATTTACTAGCAAAGACATAAGAAGACCACTATCTGAAGTCTTAATGTGTCTCTGCAAAGTATGCTTCTGCAAAGTAATTTCCAGTGTGGCATTTCCATCAGTCTGTTAACTCTGTATGTCTGATCCCAAATCAACACAGTTCGGCATCTAATTCCACATCTGCCTCTTTGAAGCTGTCTTTTGCTCCTGCAAGAATATTTGATTATGACTCAAACAGCAACATGCTTTTCTCTAGGGGTCATCCCTCTCTGATTTTACACTCTCTACACAGACTAATTGGTTGCATGCAGAACAAGCACCATGACATTTCATTGGCCATTAATAAGTAAAGGGATGTTAACAAGCAGCTGGCGTCAGAGATTTTTTTTTTTTTTTTCCAGCTAGGAAAGGAACAAAAATCAAATGAATAGGAAGAAGAAAAAAAATCAGTACCTGCACAGCTAAAGGACTGTGAAAGGAAAAATACCCCATCAGCTTATTGAAGCCTAAAGACAGAAGCCTTTGATTAATGGTAATTTTAAAAGCTCCCCCCTCAGTTTTGAGTATGGCTACATCTTTTTCTGACAGCTCTTTTGTGTAAGCAGAAGCATTTGGGAAACCCCTTTCACTGCTTTATATATCTGAATCACTTTTTGCCACACTTGCAAAAAGCTGATGACAACATCCGTGTTGCTCAGGAGCAAAATGACAACTGAAATGCTGAAAGATGACATATGTTCTGTGTTGGGCTGCCATGCAGATGTAACTGACATCTAAAACAGCATATCATTTCTCTGTTTTATATAAGAAGTCTTATGCCAATAATATTCAACACAGCAAACAGGCAAAAGCAGAGGAATCAGCCACTGAACTGAGCAGGCTTGTGAGTGGATAAGCAGACATACCCACGACTTGAGCTCTTGCTAAGGCAAGCCACTGTTTTTTGTTGTTTGGGGGAAGATGGTGCTTTTCAGGCCTTTTGGCTAGGAGTAAGAACTCTCATTCCTAGTACCTGTGGTTGAAAACAAGCCGTGTGGTCTTCTCCTCAAGCTAGCTCTGCTAAAGAGGCAGTTAAGTATGTTCTGCGTTTTAGATTTTCTCATTTACATTGTCAGAACATTCTTTGCTGACACAACTGTAAGTGCTATACTGCTTTATGCAAATAGCTAAAGATGAATGCTGCACGGAGGGGGAAAAGGCAACTGAACCAACCCCTGCAGAGAGCATATGCGAGAGAGGGACCGGGCACTTTGCCAACTAGCTCATCATGGATACAGGGTGGCAGCTAGGGGCAAAAGCTGAGCCAGCCTCCTGATGCGTGAATATGGACAAGATACCAGCCACAGGTGCACCCAATGTTTGAAAATAACAGGTAAGCATGTTCCTCTAGGCCTGCCCCATCCTATGGTGGCATTTAGTTTGCACCCATGATTGGTACAACTCCACCTTGTGAGCTCTGCTGTTCCCACTTGTATAGACAGGATCACCCTCAGAAGGCAGAGCCATTTCTAGCAGAAAGACACAACAGTGTATCTGGACATACAGTTGATGGTAAATAATATGTCTTCTCTACTTCCAATGAAATGAAAATGCATTCAACCTACTGATTATCATAATTTACTAGTTGGGTTTTTTTAACTGAAGTGTAAAACACAACAGAAATAGCATTATGAAGTTTTAGAGCCGTTTTAAAGCTCTTAAGCAAAAAGATTTCAATACTACTAATATGGAGGATTATTGGTGCCAAGAAGTTGCAAGTCCGCAGTGATGACACTGTTTATGTGAAAGTGAATTTAATGTTCACCGGGTGTGTGTTGTTAATGAATACAATTTTAACTTGTAAAAACATCTAACATGATGGAGAGGCATATCATTCCAAGCTTTTAACTAGTTTACTAGATGATCCCAGATCAAACCACTGTTGTCCACACCTATAAAATCTGTAACTTTATTTCTTTGTTAGCAGCAAAGAATTGGAATTTGCTAGAAGTTGTATATTAAGTTTATGCTAGAAACAGCAAAGGTCTGTTAGTCTAGACATCAACTACATCAACACAGCTTGTTTGAATTACCTTACCCAGATTCTCCCCTGCTCTAACTGTTGCGTATGAAAGCTAAACTAAGAATAACTGCCTCTTCTATTCCAAAGGCTTTTGCTGGTTCTGGTATTTTGGTCAGGGAACACATTTTTTACATATCAAATCAATGCAGTTCTGTTGACAAAAGTCCATAGGCTAGATCAGCTGTAACACATACACTTTCAATCAGTAAATTATCAACTCTCGATGATTATTTTTCTTGATATATTTGTCCTGTGGATAACCACACAGCTGACAATCCACCACTCCTAACTATCTGTAGACTGGCAAAGGGGAAGACGCTGGAGGTAGAACACGCACAGGTATAGAAAAAGAGATAAGGCATCTTGAAGACAGTTAAAAGAAGGTCCTAAAGTATCTACTTTATGCAGCACAATTACAAAGTATTCAGGCATAGCAAGTTTAGAAAACTCAGGCTGCTATCTATCTTCTGCTGTGTTTTATTAGGCTACTGACTGCTGAGGAGAGGATAGAAAACATAAGAAATTACAAAGACAGAGGAGTTAGTCAAAGAAAAGCTATTGGTTCTACTCATTTTTCATCTTAGAATTTTTCTCCTTCCCCTCCCTTCTGCCACATGCTGTGGTACATTTTTGATTAAAAGCTCTAACAAACTATACATTTCATAATTCTGTAAGGCATCTAGCTATTCAGGCTATACTTCCTTTGCATTTCTGATCAGGACTTTGAGAGAGATCAATGCACTAAGAGGATCTTAAGAACATGCTGCAGAACTAATGCAGGTGAGTACAGGAACATATCAAATGGTCCGCTCCAGGCAGACATCCAGAGAAACCGCATGTGTTATCATGTGTTATGGAGGATACTGGTCTTTTGATAGCACTGAATTAGTCTATTAGTGCTAAAGTCTTAGGCATCAAAATTAAAAACAATCAACGCTTTTGGAAAAGGAGGATGCAGCCTGGGGGTTCAAATTTACTCACTGCACATATCTCCCTCATCTTCTCCCTCGGCGCAGTCCCTGATAAAGTCACATGCCTGCCCCAGTCTGATTGCCGTTCCATTCCAGCAGCTGAAGGAACCCTCCAGAGCCATTTTTGAGCCAGAAGCAGATCCTAGAGAAAAAGAAAACAAAAACCACTTTGGATTACTGAATTGCCTTCCTCTCAACCAACAGGTCATAGGGTCCTGGATAACACTGAAGGGGATAATACCTCGTGAAATCCCCTCAATCCAATAATTACTTGATCAAGTAATTATTTTGTTTGACCAGTTTAATCTTGTCAAATATCCAACAGTCTATCTAACAGACAACTTCAGTTCCCCAGGCACGTCTGGTGTTTTAACTTGGAAGGTATCTTTCACCCTTGAAAAGAGGGTTGAAATCCTGCAGCCTGCTCTGTGGTACTTCTCAAGAAGAACACAATACACATCATTGATTTTTAATTGTATGTCAATTTACGGCTAGACTGACAGTCCTAAAGACTGATATCCTCTCTGTCTAGCTCAGGAATAACATGGCTATATGGTCTGGAAAGAACACAAGCTTTCATCATGCCCTCCTAGCAACATGTATTACCTATGACTTGGATGTATCACATCACATTCTCTCTGCAAGAGAGAAAACAGTCTGATTTCTGCTTGTAGTTTTCTTTCTTTTCTATACCCACTCCTGCTCCCGCACTCCCCTCCCCGTGAGTCAGGGAGCCCACAGCAGACTACATCTACCAAGATACAAAAATCACTAATTCATTTTACCTATGCTAAGCAGCAAAAGGCAGCTAGCAATGTGGAAAGGAGCCACCTCTTATGAAATGAGGTCACTGAACATTACAATTAGGAGGCCAGTATCATCCATTCAGAAATGATCCTGAGTAATGAGTCCCTTAGCACTGTCCTTTTCTGGAAGCACTTGATTCCCTTGACAGCTGAGAAGTCAGAGATCATCCAGCCTGATGGGTATCATTTTCCTTACCGTAGGAATTCTCTCATCCCGAGTCCTTTGAGAGTGGCGAAGTGAGATACTTAGGACAAGGCCCTTTTTTTTTTTTCCCTAAGAGACACATGCTCTAGATCAGTCACCTGGAGGAGGCAGGAATTAATTCAGCAATGTCCTACAGCCAGTATGCATGGAGGAGGCTAAGCTCAAGAAGTGCCAGAGCCCCTTCCACAAAAATTTGGATGTAGATGCAATTCACTGAAACCTTCCTGACTCTCTGCAGATGTGCTTCCAGTCACTTCTCCTAGAAGGCCAGCCTAGAAGTACGAAGAGGTCTGTGCTGTGAATTCTCCGCTGCAACAACTCCTGCTCTGTCTCATATTAAATGGGTAAATGCTCAAGATTAAACCAAAGCCTCTGGGCAGAGTGAGCCATTGTTTGCCTAACTCATCCGTGCTTGCTAAACAGCACAGCTACATCATATTCCCTGGTACTACAGGGAGTTGGGAATCACTGGTGATTCAATTAGATGTGCACTTGATACTTTTATTTATATTGCCTGCCAAAACTAAAAATTAATGAAGCATGTAGGAAAACAACCACTATTTCTCTTCAAGCTTATTTTATGGCTCAAATCAATTCAGGAGTAGGGGGAATACATGCCAAATCTTTTTAATAAAGGACCCCGGCTCCTGAAAAGGGTGCTCTATGTTATTGTCAGCTCCATTTTTTTGACTGCCTTAGAGCAATTCTGGCTTGTTGCATGCAGGCTGCACAGTGCCCTTGTATTTCAATCAGGGTCAAGGCAGGACTACAGAGGAGAGCTTTGCAGAAAAAACAGACCAAGTAACTCAGAGCTGTTTGATGACAATTTCTGCAGGCCCGTTGGTAAGGGTTTAAGGCAATAAGAAGATATCTCCCTTGGCTTTGCTATGCTCCTTGCAAAAATGCACTCTTAGAGACACCACTGAGAGCCTTCCCTACGCCAGATGCAAAGCTCTTCACACATCACAAGCCAGACACAGCAGGCTCAGGTCAGTGTGCAAACGGATGCTAGAAAGCTGTAAGAAGTGACTCTGGTAACTCAGTAGGTGATCCCTTCTCCTAAGGGTATGCAATGAACCCGTATGGCACCGTACTGCTGAAAGTATCACCTTAAGAAAAGTTAAGAGACATGGCCCAGACCACTTCCACGTAGTAACCTCATGACACTCTTTGAAGTCTTTAAGTCCTACTCAAATTCAGAAGTACTTTTGTCCCTCTGAATTACTCCACAGATCGTTTTGAACCCCACGTCTATTCCCAGCTCTCACGTCCCCCTCAGTTTATTTGCAATCTTTTCAGCAATGTCCACGTTTTACCCCAGCAGCTGCTGGGATACAACATGCACAGATTCAGAGGAGGGGGTTATTGTAGCTAATGGAGTTGTTCTGTTTACTCAATTCATTATAATTTTGTAAAGGCACTCAATTTTCCAAGCACATGACTGCATTAACACCAGTTATAATGGAACCAAGGCATTCAAGAGCACCTACTGTCTTCCCGGGTGTCTTTGTTGCAGCCCAGGAGCACAAATCTCCTGAAGTCAACCGACTGTAGTATTTAAAAGACGTCAGGTGCAACTAGACATCAAGCAATTCCAGGAGCTTTTCCTCCAAAACAAAGCAGCAGATTTGCATGCTCATTCACCTCTGCAGAGCTGGGGCCCAAATTAGCTCAGATTTGCATTAGACACGTATATACACGCTCCTTGTATAGGTTAGAGAACAGAAATAGCAAAACTGCAGCCCGGGGAATGGCTGGGTTCTGAGAAAGTGCATGATTTATTCCTGCCTCCTTTTTGCTTGCTTACTGTGTGCACAAAGGCAAAATTAATTGGATAAAGGAGATTATTAACTAGTAAAACAAATAGATAACCAAAAAAAGCTCAAATACAAATGACCCTTTAATGGGCCACTTGATGCAGATGTTTGCATCCAAGCTCAAGGAAATTTAATTTTTAATTAAAATATTTTATAACAAAAATAGACATTTCATCTCATTTCCCAGCCCAAATCACTCCTGGCAAGGTGAGCCAGAATGACCTAGATCATTGAGTCAAGTGGCCTCAACTCACACACAGAAGATGGGTGAGGAAAGGAAAATGAATGTACCAAATAAGTATCAAAGTAAAATTTGTGGGAGACATCCTTTATATTTACAGCAGTGTTTATGTAGCCAGTGGCGTTCATAAATTATAGCAGTCATTAAGCTGTACCATGGCTGGCTTGGAGTCTTATAAATCATTATTTAAACAGCAACATTAAACAAATGGCATTTCAGGCTCTAAATTGAAAGGAGAAACAAACAACTCCTTGGGGAACAAGTGCTGACTTTGTACCTCACAGGTACTGCTTCTGAACATAATCCAGTCTTGGCAGTGTTCAAATCCAGTACCAGACGCCGGACACAAATGACAGCCCGGGCTCTTGACTGCCCATGCTTTTGGACTTGGTTTCCATGTAGCAGATCAGCATTAAAGGGAAAAATCATGTGGCTTAGCCTAATGCAGCATAAGCAATTTACTGCTCAGACTGTGAGACCAAAGGGGATGCACTTCACTCCTCAGCAGACTTTCTCCAGCTTGCATTGCCTCTTCTCTCCTCCACCCTCCCTTGATCAGCAGAGAAACTGAAGTGCCTTGGCAAGTTCTGGTGAATCTGTCTCTGAGGAACGTGGCCAGAAAGTTCAACTTACTGCCACCACACTCGTCCAGGTGGGACAGAAGACTGAAATTCTTTCAGGCATTCACAAAAATATCCCTTATCTTGCAAACTGGCTATGTTGCTAATTATCATGCAGGATTAATCAAACTGAACATAATTATACCGTCACGTGTTACATTCAACTTCTCAAGCTGTAATTTTTAATGCTACCAAAAGCTTTTGGGACCAACACAGTCAGGTAAAGTCCTCCCACTCAGCACACATTAAAACAAGAGAGCTTAATAGGACAGTACTTGGTTGTTAAAAACCCTGTCATTTGTACTCTGCAAAAGAAGATGAACAGAAACTGCAAACACCCAGGATGAATGTACACCCTCGTGCATGTTTTACCAAAAAGCAGGTGCTCTCTGGGCTATCCCTGAGGAGTCTGGCTGGACACAACTGAATTGACTCCAATGGTCCTTGGGGCAGAACCCTGTACACACACAAGGTGAAAAACTACCATTTTAATTGCATGTATGTACTAAGAAATACCTACCCATGGAAATCCACCATGCTTATCTCATCATATGTGCTACCCTTCAAAAACGAGAAACTTCGCTATTATTTAATTACATCTCTTAAAAAAGTATTTTCTAATGGGCTAGTGCTGCAGTCTAACATTTCTCCACTAAATGCCACTGAAAATCATGGATTGTGCAACCTCACAATGCTTATCTGTCACATATATTTGTCATTAACTTCTCAATTTCATCTGCTCCTCCTTTGGTTTAAGTTCAAGGCCTTGACTCAGAGATATTTTAAAAGAGAGTACTTGGGGGATTTTATAGGTTGTGTGGAACAAAGAAAAGCTGCTGTCTAGCTATAAAAGGATAGTGAGAATGCTGGGGAGTTTCTGATTATTGATTTTTCTGTGACTCGCTATTTCTGATGGGCATATCATTTCTTCACTCCAACCCTCCAGCCTTATAGCAGCACTGACATTTGAAGGCTGATGGATCACTTGGTGCTGAGGATAGCCATATCCCAGGACAAAGCAAATTTTCTACTGATATGAGTCATTAATACCCATGCTTCCTTCATTAGAGAAGTTGGAAAGTGTGCAATAAAGGTGGTAGGAAAGTGAAAGAAGAGAAAGATGAGTTCATGTTTAAGGGAACTGAAGCCACCCTTGGCAAATGGCCATTGAACTCCAACGTGATTTAGGGCAGATCACATAAACCAAAACGTTCCCAGCAAGCTAGACTGCCCTCGTTTTCCAGACACCCACCCCAGGACACCTGTACTCAGATCAGCAGAGAAGCCAAGCGATCGCAGCTGCAAATGAGACCAACGAGAGAGATACTTGGAAAACACAATGTCCTCAAAAAACACTTTGAAAAAAGATTGACTCCAGGTTTCTCACATCAGGCAGCCAAAATTAGTCAACGCTTCATAATTTCTGGCTTTAATCTTTGTAACAGCATCGTTA